GTCCTCCTTGTGCCGAGGGCTCCAGAGCTGGGCACAGGGCTCCAGCAGGGATGCTCTGACCAGGTACAGGGGGGTGCTGTTGGTTGTCCCCGCGCAGTTTGCCCCAGACGGTTTGCTCTGTGCAATTCCCTGTCAGTTTAACAATTTTATGCTTTCAACAACCTGGGAACATTCTCCTGTGCCTCGCAAGGAGCTGTGGCCGCTCCGTGCTCCAGAGTGGCTCCCGATGCCGTGTGGGAATTGAGGGAGAAGCCCCATTATGGGACCTCCCCGGGAGCAGGCTGCTGGGCACGAGGAGGCAAACCTGGGGGGCAGCAAGGGTGGGCTCATGGTGACATTCCGGGAGGGAGAGCTCATGGTGGCGGAGAGGGAGGGCTCATGGTGGCAGTGAGGATGGGCTTGCAGTGGTGTTCCCGGGAGGGAGGGCAGGAAAGCTTCTCCCTTCTCCCCTCCCTGCTCTGCTCTCTGGACTGCTGCCCCGTTTCTAGCACTTCAGGATTAGACCCGTGCCTACAGTTCCCCTTTGGGAGAGGCTCCTCATGCCGTTCTCCATCCTCGGCGGTTGCTGCGGTGGCTTTTGGGGAGCTGAGAAGCTGGTGTGACAAGAGGGAATGCTGTGTGTCCGATGGGTGACGGCTCGCTCCGGAGCAGTTTGTGGATGGTGCCGAGGAGCTCCAGCCTCACGCGCCCGAGTGCTTGGGTGACTTTGGTGCTTGTCCTGCTCCTGCTTGGGCCCCCTTGGGTGCTGCTCAAAGTGTTTTTCTCTTGTCCCCCTTGGAAACTGGGCCATGGCAAAGTCATGGGAAGGGGTTTCCTTCTCTGGGGAAGCACGTGCCTGGTGAGCAGAGCTGGAGGCAGTTTCCACCAAGCTGGGAGCGCACTGGGGGGCTGGCACTGAACAGCGTTTGCAGGGAGCTCCTCCAGGGCTGGAGGTGGATTTTCCTTAGCAGTTGGTTTTCTTGAAGGACCTCTTGAGTTAGTGAGGACCCTCTGGTGCGCGGTGCTAGGAACGGGCAAGCCCTGCAGTAACTAGTCAATAAAACCAGTACCAGGGGCCCCCTGGGGTCCAGCCATTTGCTGCGGAGCTGTTTGGTGTCACTGGAAGATGCTGGGCTTCAAGAGGTTTAAACTGTCTCGGTACAGGTTTTAAAACACTGACGAGCACCACGGAGGGATGTGGGGTAGAGCTGTTACCTCCAGGCATGGTGTGTGCCGAAAAGGGGC